ATTTAAAGCATCTTACCTCTTCAAACTTTTTACAGATGAAATCGAAAGCTCTATAGATGTTTTCTTCAGACCCGGTGACTGTGACGATCCGTTCGGGACAAGAGCCATCAGAGATGTTGATTTTTGCTCCACTCTGGGGACAAACATAGTTTTTATCAGATACCAGGGACACATATGGATGATATCAGACACTAGGGACAGACATAGTTTGTATCATACACTAGGGACAGACATAGTTTATATCAACACAAAGGACGAACAAAGTTTATACCAAACATCAGGGACCAAACATAGTTTGTATCATACACTAGGGACAAATGTAATTTTTATCAGGAAAATATAGTTTATATCAAATACTGGGGACACATGTGGTTTATACAAATTAATAATGGTTAATGGGGACAAATATGGTTACTATCAGATACTGGGGACAAGTGTGGCTTATATAAAATACTGGGGACAAATACGGTTACATAAGACAATGGGGACAAAGGTGGTTTATATACGATACAAGAAACACGTGTTTTTTTTTAGATACTGGGGACAAATGTGGTTTATATCAGATACTGGGGACAAAAGTGCTTCATATCAGATACTGGGGACAAACATGGTTTATATCAGATGCCAGGGGGCAAATTTGGTTTATATACGATACGAGGGTCATAAATAATTTATACCAGACACCAGAGACATATAGGTTTATATCAGACACTGGGGACAAATATTGTGGTTAATTTCCAATACTGGGGACAAGTATGGTTTATATAAGATCCTGGGGGACAAATGTGGTTTATATTAGATACTGGGGACAAATGTGGGTTCTTTCCCAGATACTGGAGTCAGTTGTGATTTATTTCAGATTCTGGGAACAAAGGTTGTTTATTTCAGATACTAGGGGCAGATGTGGTTCATATCAGATACAGGAGACCAAAATGAAGTTTACATCAGATACTGGGAACATATTTACACACACATATTCACACAAACGCGCACACACACGTGGTTTATATAAGACACAGGCACAGGAGACAAAATTATTGGGGACACAACTGTTTTATATTAGATACTGAGGGAAATGTGGTTGATATCAGATACTGGTGACAAACATAGTTTATATAAGATACTGAGACAAGCGTGGTATTTATCAGAGATAATGGGGACAAATGTGGTTGATATCAAATACTGGTGACAAACATAGTTTATATAAGATACTGAGACAAGCGTGGTATTTATCAGAGATAATGGGGACAAATGTGGTTTGTATCAGATGACAGGTCTCCCGATGGACGCCGGATGGAAAAAGTAGACATGAATGACCTAAGGAGACAGCAGAAGGACAGCAGATAGGAATACAAAGGGAGCTACAATTTCATGTGTCACCACAGGCAGAACAACGGCAGTAATAGAGATCTTTTGTGAATTACGACAAGAAGATGGTTTGGGACCAGATCAGTGGTTCTCAACTTTCCTAATGCCGCGACCCTTTAAAACAGTTCCATCATGTTGTGGCGACCATTTAATACAGTTCCTTATGTTGTGGTGACCATTTAATACAGTTCCTCATGTTGTGGCGACCATTTAATACAGTTCCTCATGTTGTGGCGACCCTTTAATACAGTTCCTCATGTTGTTGCAACCATTTAATACAGTTCCTCATGTTGTGGCGACCCTTTAATACAGTTCTTCATGTTGTGGTGACCCTTTAATACAGTTCCTCGTGTTGTGGCGATCCTTTAATACAGTTCCTCATGTTGTGGCGACCCTTTAATACAGTTCCTCATGTTGTGGCGACCCTTTAATACAGTTCCTTATGTTGTGGCGACCCTTTAATACAGTTCCTCATGTTGTGGTGACCCTTTAATACAGTTCCTCATGTTGTTGCCACCCTTTAATACAGTTCCTTATATTATAGCGACCCTTTAATACAGTTCCATATTTTGTAGCGACCCTTTAATACAGATCCATATATTGTAGCGACCCTTTAATACAGTTTCATATATTGTAGCGACCCTTTAATACAGTTCCTCGTATTGTGGCGACCTTTTAATACAGTTTAATATATTGTAGCGGCCCTTTAATACAGTTCCATATATTGTAGCGACCCTTTAATACAGTTCCATATATTGTAGCGACCCTTTAATACAGTTCCATATATTGTAGCGACCCTTTAATACAGTTTCATATATTGTAGCGACCCTTTAATACAGTTCCTCGTATTGTGGCAACCCTTTAATACAGTTGCATATATTGTAGCGACCCTTTAATACAGTTCCTCGTATTGTGGTGACCCTTTAATACAGTTTAATATATTGTAGCGGCCCTTTAATACAGTTCCATATATTGTAGCGACCCTTTAATACAGTTCCATATATTGTAGCGACCCTTTAATACAGTTCCATATATTGTAGCGACCCTTTAATACAGTTTCATATATTGTAGCGACCCTTTAATACAGTTTCTCGTATTGTGGCAACCCTTTAATACAGTTGCATATATTGTAGCGACCCTTTAATACAGTTCCTCGTATTGTGGTGACCCTTTAATACAGTTTAATATATTGTAGCGGCCCTTTAATACAGTTCCATATATTGTAGCGACCCTTTAATACAGTTCCATATATTGTAGCGACCCTTTAATACAGTTCCATATATTGTAGCGACCCTTTAATACAGTTTCATATATTGTAGCGACCCTTTAATACAGTTTCTCGTATTGTGGCGACCCTTTAATACAGTTGCATATATTGTAGCGACCCTTTAATACAGTTCCTCGTATTGTGGCGACCCTTTAATACAGTTCCATATATTGTAGCGACCCTTTAATACAGTTACATATATTGTAGCGACCCTTTAATACAGTTCCATATATTGTAGCGACCCTTTAATACAGTTCCATATATTGTAGCGACCCTTTAATACAGTTGCAGATGTTGTAGCGACCCTTTAATACAGTTCCATATATTGTAGCAACCCTTTAATACAGTTACATATATTGTAGCGACCCTTTAATACAGTTGCAGATATTGTAGCGACCCTTTAATACAGTTGCAGATGTTGTAGCAACCCTTTAATACAGTTGCAGATATTGTAGCGACCCTTTAATACAGTTACATATATTGTAGCGACCCTTTAATGCAGTTCTTTATGTTTAGGCGACCCGCAATCAAACAATTATTTTCATCGCTACTTCATAACTTCAACGAATATTTGTTTTGCGATGGGCTTTAGCGACCCCTGTGAAAGGGTCGTTCGACCCCCCCCCCCAAAAAAAAAGGGTCGGGACCCATAGGCCGAGAACCGCTGTATTAGAGGGGGACATAAAGTTTGTACCAAATACTGGGAGGTTATGTAATGCCGGGGTATCGGCTTCGATCCCACCTGCAGACGATTTGACAGCAGAATTTCTTGCGTTGATTTTTTTTAACGTATCCAGAAACCATCAGTTGTAAACCCTTTGGCTCAGTACTATGGATATCGCAACCCTTCGGCATTGATTCCATGATAGGTACCGTAAATCTGGGAGAAATGTGGCTTTTCTGCCTACCCCCCGGGAGTGAACCCGGACCACAAGGAGTTCGTCACCCGGTCACCGCGAAAGTCAGGTTTAACCAACTACGCTAGAGAGCTTGCGTTGATTTCGTCAGTGGTATCGAGAACTGACCGTTTAGTAAGCAATGGCAAACTACATAACACAACATTTTTCTAGAAAAACCACAACATCCTAAAAACGCTGGGGTTGTTTTGCAACTTTCTGTAAAGGATACGATACTAACCTAATTGGGAGGTTCTAGGGGAATTTATATTGAAGGACAAGTGTAATTTATATAAGATAGTACTTGAAACAGTCATAACCAAGGAGGATGGAATGAAATGGAGTAAGAAAGAGGGAGAAAAAGACCGCGACAGAGACACAGGCAGAGGCAAATTTTAATAAACAATGAAAGAAATACACAGACAGACAGCCATAATATCTAGATAAGATAGGTAGAAAAGAAGTAAGACAGACAGATAGAAATAACGATACTGAAACTTGGAGAAAAAGATAAAAAAGAAAACCATACTGACAGACACATATTAAGAAGAAAGACAAACAAAAGAAAAAAAAATTATGATAAAGATAGACTGGCAGACAAACAGCGAGACTGGATAAAAGAAAGAAGGAAAGAACGTTCTGCGAAAAAGCGCAAGAAAAATGGACGACAGAAACACCCACAGCCCGTGAAAAACAAGAAAGGAAAGTTATACTAGGATGGCTCAACATAAAACAAAGCAGACGGAACAAAAAAATGAAGTCTCATTAGGCGTCTTGAATCTGCCCTTGACCCTGCACACCAAGGAGCTTGTGTCTGTACCGCATTTATCTCAATAACCCACCAGCACTTCTCCAACCTCCAGGTTACAGAGACGCAAAAACGAACAGCTTAAGACCTTGTACCTGTAGTGTAGAACAATACCAACCAGGCGTTGGAGACACGGGAAAACGTTAACCCAGGTCAGTGTTCTTCAACATTTTTTACATCAGCGGACCAGGAACCAAAGAGAGAAATACGTATGGAAATTTGAGATCATGCATATTCCCCGAGTTAACTTATGTATGTGAGTCATGGGAGGGGGTGAGGATAGACGAAGCCTCTGAACTGACAAGCTACAGAAAAAGTATACAAATACCATCGATCAAGAACCAAAAAAAAAAAAAAAAAAAAAAAAAAAAAAAATGGTGGTTACAATTTTATGCATTAAATCCAGTTTATAAACTGCAATTTTTAGTTAGAGCGAAAACTGATTCTTAAAGACTAGGAAAAAAACTCTAATACACTAATACACGTGGCTGGAGTATCGTTTCTGAGAATCGAAACACTGCAATAAAATGTAATCGAATTTTATGTTTAGTTTAATGATGGACATAACCTATACTTGTCGCGCTACATTGTCACGTGCAGCGTTTCATTCGCTCATCAGCAGCAGTGTAGCACCTGAATGATGCAGTCGCTATATAAATTAGCGGGGATTTCCGTAGATCAGCACCGGTGCGAGGATCATAGTTTGAAGAACACTGTCTTAGAGACTTTATTGGATATTTTCTTCGCACCAGCTGTTACCGTTTTGTAACAAGTCTGGATAAATGCATGCTACA